GGTGAGCCTTTCTCCCTTAACACATTCTATTCATTACTCAATTCCAGTATACTCATACACATACTGACTTAAGCATCGGAGGCTCTTCACCAGACCCAACCCCCAGTGTGAGAGTTATTTCAGGTTTCCAGCGTTCTACCGGCGAGGAAAGGAACCGATCTACTCCAAACCGGACCCGGACGCTTACACTTGCATTACCATTGTTCAAAAGACAAACCAACATCCCTTAGTTCAAACACACAACAAGTTTACATAACTATTAAGACATTTTTTCAATAATTATCTGAACCATTTTCACCTGCACCTCGTCATCGAGGCTAAAAAACATGTCCAGGTCTTCAGTCTTGTTGCAAAGGTATTTGGTGGCTAGTAGTCTCTCCTCCATGGTTAGGTTGGGCATATTTTTTAACACATCGTACACCTTGCCACGTCTTTCGGTCGCATCGTGGGCATGACCGACCCTGACCAGCATGTTTGATTTGTTCGTCGCAGTCACCTTGCAGAATGACGGCAACATCCCCAAAAATTGATCGTCTTCCTCCACGACTTTTTTTTTCTTTTTTCTAGACCTCTTTTCTCTGTCAACATGCAAATTTGACTCCCCAACATGCACATTTGACTCCTCTTGCATATGTACTTCCGGTGGGGAAGTATTATTGTTGGTTTCTGATCTTCTAGGCGCATTTGGAGTAGTCGAGGATGAAGGTATGTTGAAAACACCGTTTACCGCATCAACAAATCCTGTAGCGTTCTCGCCAGTTGCCCTGTCCTTTCTGAATATGTCACACCAACCTGCATAAAATGGCCAAGACTTTTACCTCATCGGTTTTGCGTTGGAGTCGATCTACGTGGGAAAATAATTATTCAATGCATAACAATAACAATACAACAGCATAACACAAGACGCGAGTTGCAGTAACGATACAAGAACATAAGTCATACAATTCTACAAAGATTCATGTGAATAGGGATGCACAATTACAGACTGAGCAAGTATAAGTATCTGGTCAGAGTAACCTAAAGAGATCACTAATTTGTAGAAAATTGTTGTATCATCAAAGGTACCCTATAAAAAGATGAAAAATGAATATTAA